AGTGGTCGATGGAATGGTGAAATCGTCAAGGATTTGGGAAGCTAAGGAGGTTGTGCGTTTGGGAAAGTCAAATGACTACCATCTTTATAAGCTCAAACTGCCTTCAGATGACTAAGGAACCAGCAGCTGGTTGCTTAGCATTTTGGATGCTGATTTTGGTACGTTAACCTCGTGTAAGAACTTGATTTGATGGTTGTTTCATATCTGTTAGTTATGAGATACATTGTTATTTTGGATGTCAAATGAATTTATAATTTGCTCGGCCTTTTATGCACGAGTTTTCCAGTCTTAACGGCTTCACTTCATGGTGGTTTAATGGTAGAAGGCTTCCAGTTAAAAATGACCCTCTCTAGTACCTTTTAGGCTTTTGTATAGATATCTTGGTTGTATATCATCTCAGTTAAGAAATTAGTAGCTTACTCTTTAGTAGCTTTGTACTCCATTCTGGACACGCCTTTCGTAATTGCTAGAGAAATTCTGATAGTGTTGTTACATGCTAATATCATAGTTTGCATTATATTCAATTAATTCTCATTAAAACTTATTTCAACAAGTACACTGAATCAACAATAAAAAAAACTGCGTTACAGCATCCAGTATCATATTTTATAGCTTTTTCAATTGTGCTAATTATAAGCCTTTCTCCAAGAGTCATATCTCAACAATCAGCTATTGCGAGAGTCATTCTTCATTTTCCAAAGGATTCAGCCTATAAATCATAATTTAGGGAATAGAATACACAATGAAGAGCATACTAGAAAATGAGTAAAAGAATTTGTAACCGAGAAGAAGAGACGTATAAGTAGCAGAAAAGAGGACCCACAAGAAGGAGAAAATGTCATCATGGATATAGAAAAAAGAAGAAAATATAAATCAAATGAATAGTAGAAAAGTTGTTGCAAAGTAACTGTTCTCAGACAACAAAAGGCTATTTTTTCTCCTCCTTTTTGTCAACGTGTCATCTTTTAATGTTAGATTTGTAGAAGCAACTGATATCACTTGGATTGCATTGCACCTCATTGTTCCAAGTTGAGCTTCTTCGGAGTTGCATTGACTCACTGATCAGATGCGATAACATTTAGAGCAATAAGTTTCTATAACCTTCCTCCAATAGCAAGATAAATGACTATGACACAATATAGATGCATTTCTCCTGTACTGTGGGAACCCTGGAAATATTAACCCATAGATTTCGTAATCAGCTTGGAGATGGTTACATATTGGTGTGGTTAATGATTCAAAGATGCTTAAACTGATTATATATTTGTTGTCATTAATATCCTAAGATGGGTACATTTTACTCTATAGCAAGGATATTCCATGCCTATAACGATCTGGCAACTAGAACTATTTCTCAGATATAGACGTAAATTATACAGGCTACTTTTGGTGTAATCTCATAAGGATGATAAACATATATATAAAAGTTCTTATGTACATGCAAGAAAATGTATCTTATATATAAAATATGTTGCTTCACAAAAAAAAAATACATGTAAGAAAATGGTCAGAGAGAGCTGTCACTAAGGGTATAGGTGATCTATTAAGACCCTTAACAGAATATAGTCATATACTTTCGCACACAAGTATCAACGACAAAAGAAAATGGTGTTTGCATCTTTGTGATTGAAATTCCTTTCAATTTCCTTTAACGTGCTATCAGCTATTTCGAGTTTAGCCTCACCAAAGATCTAATCTCTTTGCCTCTTGTGCCATTTCAAATACTTGAAGAAGAATACTCTTTAGTTAGTGGAACATTTCGTGGCCTACTTACTGTCAACTGCTTAACAAGATATAATGGTTTTGTTTTTGGGATAAGTATTAATAACTAATAAAAGTGTCATGAAATTTAGGCGCAAGTTTGCTATATTATGTGCAAGAGTCATGTCAAGGCCTCAAAACTTATCTAAGGATACAGGGAAGAAGTTGTCAATATCTAAACTCTTCCCGGAACTATGCACTAGGAAGCGTTGCTCACTGTGTTATTCTTTAAGTATAACATGATACTAAACAACAAACAAAGGAAGTCGATTTCCAACAAGAAAGTGCAAGAATAACTGTACCTGAGTATGAGTGCACTCAGATAGTCATTAGCAGGAAATATGTTGCTTCTGTTTCTGATTAGTTAATCCTAATTTGATCAGTGTCACTGTGTCAGTATCAAAATGTTCCCAGACTTTAGTATAGTGGTAAGAGCGCAACATGTGATATGTGGTAGGTGCACGTCATGGGTTCAAATCCTGTCGCAGACAAATGCCTAGTGTTTAAGTGGAGAAGGGTAGAGAAGGTGCGCCCATTGTTCACCGGGTTCCGAACTGTGCGACACTGACCCTCGAGGATTACTCGGTTTTGAAAAAAGTGCCAGTATCAAAATATTAGGTTGTTTTGCTCTTCAACTGAATCTATTGCTCCCTGGGGAAGTTCTGATGAATTGGATCTGGTTTACACTGCCAATGGAATTTAAAAATATAAAAGGGTAGAAAACATCAAGTGATTGGTGCTAAATAGTTCTTCCTTAACTTGAAAGCTGTATGCACATTTTGAATTGGAACAAAGTCTTTTTATATTAGGTTTGAATTAAATCTTTCAATATCATATTTTACAAGTGATTTTATTGCCATTTAGGATTATACCAGATTAATGAGTCAATTTAGGGTCAATTCAGATATCAACTAAGTCTCTAATTATCAGACAAATGCAGACTTGTGGACATCGAAATGCAATAATCTATACTCTATAGTATAGCCGTATTTATAGTGTGACTCATTATTATGTGTGGCTATACAAGATCACCTCCTCTGTTAAGTTACAAAGGGTTCTTATTCATTTATCAATCATTAAGCAAGGAAGATTTTTTGATTAATCTTAATGAACGTTATTTCAATTATTTTTTTCTTTTCATATTTTTTTGAAAGAATTAGTACTAAATGTACATTTGACACGACCAAAAGAAGAGAACATTTCAAAATTAGTTTCCTGTTATGTAATAAATCATGTGTAGTCCCTGAAAATTCGTTGAAGAGAAGGTTCTCCACTTAAAACAGTAATTCTTGAATGATTGTTTGAGATGACAGAACAGCAACTAGAGTTATTTTATTTTTAAAATATTTCTTCTTTAAGTATTACATGCAATCTTGTTTCTTCAAAGCAAATGCTAACAGAAGAGTGCCGGCTTGCCGCTCTTTGGCACAAATGCACAATATTAACTGAACTATTCAGTTCTTTAGTAACCCCTTATCTTTAAAACAAGCAAGACATTGATCATAAATCTCTTCAATCCCATACTTAAAATTGAATCCCTCTTTGATGAGCTTTTCTGACGAGATGATCAACTTGGCCTTGGAGGGGAAATCCCCGAAACTGCAATAGATCAATCAGATATATGTCAGTATCCAAACTTTTAAGCCATAAAGATAATGCTGTCTATGAATATAAAATGGAATAGAGTAAAAAAGGAAAATGTCGCCTCCAAGGAGCGAAAGAACCAAGTATTCTGTGGTGATGTCAGAATTTGCACTTATTTGTATCTATTTAGTGATCAGTCCGCTAGTTTCTTTGCTCCCACTCAGTCTTCCTTTTCTATTTTCTTCCAATAGTTCGACCTATCCATACCTAAATCCTGCTCTTTTACTCCTATGGTTTGCTAAATAGTTGCATGTCGTTGTCTCTAGACCCTGATCTTTGATGCACCTATACGCTGTTAGTGGCAATTCTAACAAAAAGTGAATAGGAAGCGTAATTTTACAAGGAAACATTTGCATTTGTTCTTGAAAAGCTACTTTTATATCATCCCAAGTGTGAACAATTGTTGCTTAATATTGGTAACATTACTTACTCTGTAGGAACATCCGAAGTTGGATATCTTTTCTTCAAGAAATTTGCTAGCTCCGGAACACTGGTGTTGATGGCAGAACAAATGTATCGTCCGGAAGCTGATTCTTTCTCAGCAACAAAAATATGGGCGCGACAAACATCCTCCGCATGTGTAATAGATATTGAACCTGATAACATCTGCATGCCCTTCAAGTTACTTATAAGGAATTCATTCCCTGTCAAAAAATTGCAAATTTAAGGTCAGATTCTCTGAGCTATATTCATTTGCAATTTTACTAAGAAAAATTAAATTCAGAATGAACATTAGTTAAATTATATATATTGCTCATATTTTATTGAGACCTGTGATCAAGGACATGGAAAGATTAACACTGCTTGGAGTTTCTGGAGTAAGATAAGGACCAGCCATGAGAGATGGAATTACTGTGATTAGTTTAATATTGTTCTCCTCAGCAAATTTCCAAGCTTCTTTCTCAGCTAATGTTTTAGAGACAGGGTATCCCTGCATAGTAGAAAAAGAACTTTTAATCATCTTCCAATTCATGTAGATCTTCCGTAACCCATAATGTTAAAGGACATAATTAAGTACATAAAAGTCTACACTCAGTATTGGAAACGTCCTTAGGTCTTTGATTCATTCCTTGGCAGCTACCTTAATTCGAGGATCAAGCTTACCAGAATGCTTCAATTGAAGTAGTTGATCCAACGAGTAATGACCTTTACTAGTGCTTCTTCCCGGACAGTTTAACTTTTGGATGTGGTCGCCACATAATTCAATATGGTCGCAGAGTGTATGGAGGTTCTAGATTCAAAGAGCAATTTCCATGTTTGACCAGTAACAGAAAGAATCAGGCTCGCATGTAAGGTTACATGTTAAGGACATACTTAAGTAACAAATTTAACCTCTTAAATGAAGTGGTTACACAATTCATGTTATAACTTTCATATAAGTTAGTTTATCAGTTAATCACATATGATTTTAATAATAATATTGTGAAATTACCCAAGTTGGTGGCTTTGTGGAAGTCAAAAACTCGACGTCGGTCCAATTAGACTCATCCACGACGAGGCCTGTGCCATTAAGCTGGTTGATAGTCACAGCTGCAGCTGATGAGGTCAAAACGACACGCTTAATTGTGTTTGATTTAGCACATGCTTTTAGAACATTTAGAACTCCTTGTATTGCTGGTTTGATCATATCATTCTGTCAACAAAAAGGAACGACGATTAGCATAGTCTGAATCCACATTTTAGAGTATAGAGTTCACCATAAGGGTGATCTTATTATATGTATGCATTTTGAATTTTTTTTTAATATATCTATATATAGGTCAGTAGTTGTCTATTGGAAATAACTTCTCTATCTCCAAGGTCGGGGTAAGGTCTGGTTACACACTATCCTCTCCAGACCCCACTATGTGAGATTAAATTGAGTATATGTTGTTGTGTATATAGGTCACAGATTCGAGCTATGAAAGCAACCACTAATGATTCCATTAGGGTAGACAGTCTACATCATACCCCTTAGGGTGCGGCCCTTCCTCGGAGGCCTGCATGAACATGAGATGCTTTGTACACCAGGCTACCTTTTTTATAGTTCGAGTCTAAAGCAACTGGTTCAATATAACTCATAGAACCCGGCCCTCAATCTACCTATGCCGATTAGATGTTATTGAAAGGCTAAGAGTTCTTGGTATAATTGTATACCTTTGGATCTTGAGAAGCAAAATTAATTGGTGTTGCAACATGGAAGACAATGTCACAGCCAGCAATAGGTGCATCAAAGCTTGTTTCATCAGTTAAATCAGCTTGGAAAATTCTCAATTTTCCCAAACTATGTAATGCTAAGAGGTGAGAGATCTTCTTTTGATTTCCTATAAGAAATTAAACAATATTAAAGAATTTTTAGACTACTAGATCATTGGAAAAAATAATGTGTAACTCTGAACATAAGGTGAACTAGTTTTCTAAAAAATAAAGCAGACAACATGTTAGAACAAGATAAATATATTGTTAGAGTAAATATTCTTTACGCTATCAGTGTTTATAAGTTAAATTTAAAAACTAACCGGAGTCCCGGACTGTTGTATTAACAATGTACCCTTTCTCAAGCAAAAGCTTGACAAGCAAAGATGCCATAAAACCAGTGCCACCAATTACACAAGCTGCCATGGATTCTTAATGTTTTTAAAGTCAGACTTTAAAACCTTATAGAAACAAATTACTGAGAACACTCAAATGTTAATACTCTAGTATCAGATTAATGAAAGTCTGCTGTCTAAATATTTGGATGCATCGTTTTATATCACTAAGATCATCAGGTTAAGAGGTAGACGGGCACGTGATGCCACCAAAATGTCAAACGTCGAAGTTCAAAGCACGGTCTATAGAAAGAAAAAAAAAACAATATAGTAATAATGTAATAGAGGAAAAGACAAATACACATGAAATATTACTATAAAATACCTAAAAAGAAACAGCAGTCTGGTGCACAAAACATATCTTGTATCAACGCAGGGTCAGAGAAAGGACCGCATCCTTAGGAATATATATGATATTGACAACCTACCTAATGCAAACATTAGTAACTACTTTCATGACTGAAATTCGTGATTTATAGGTCACACAGAGACAACTTTACTATTGCTCTAAACCCTAAATTATCTATTGAGAGAATAATATTGTATCTACCGGAGCTCTTAATTATTTGATTTGCTAAATGGTTAGTTTCCCCGGTCTACATGTCTTTATTGTATTTGGTGTTTGATTTTTTCTAGAGTTTGGTGTAATAGTAAGTGAGGCCTATTGGGGAAAATTTTTATCTACTGGTACTCTAGAGCTTTAATTTCTACTCCCTCCGATCCAAAATAAGTGTTTTTGACTTTTTTCTTGTGGTCCAAAATAAATAATTTTTTCATATTTCAAGAATGAATTAATTATTTTTTTCCAACATTGCCCTTGGAGTAATTAATGTTGGAGTATGTGTGAGGAGTGTTTATGTGAAGAGACAATAAAGGTTAATATGGTCAATTTCACTGATAATTAATGTTAAAAGGTGAATTTCTTAATATATGTGAAAACAACTAAAAAATCACTTATTTTGGACCGGAGGGAATAGTAAACTGGAGTTCATTTGGGGGGTCAAGATCAACTTTTCATCGTCTCGTTCAGATTATTACTTTCTCCATTTTAATTTATATGGCGATGTTTGGATTTTGAAAGTCAAACAAATTTTTTTTTAACCATAATTTTTTTATATGCCTTTAAATATTTTGACTTTTACTTATTGTGTTTTATTGTACATTTCAAATCACAATAAAAAATGAGAAGTTTGACTTTCGAAGTTCGAACTATTACATATAAATTGAAGTTTTAGTTAAAGTATTTAGGGAACTCTTCTCGGTAAGTTCAGGTCTGTCACTGCCTGAAGAGGAGGAGGGAAGGTTGGAAGGTGGACGCGGTGATGACAAAGGTGGAAAAAGCTTGAAAATACAAGTGGAAAATGGGTTATATATGGTTTGAAGTGTTATTAGTTAGACTTTAAATAAAGATGGAGGATAATAAATCGTTCGTAAAGTTAAAAGTGTGTAAATAAATTTTTTCGGAAAATTTAAGGGTTGACTTATGTGTTTTTTCCTCATAATTTAAAGAAAAATAGACATGCATAAAAGTATTATTTACTTTGGTAGATTGAGTTATACACAAATCACATTATCTAATCCAGTAGAGCATTTGTTTCGCATATCGTCATACACATACAAAAACAAGATTAGTAGTTTGAATGCATTAAAAGAAAAAAAGCTTTTAACACATTAAAAGAGGAACCAACTAATATAAACAGTTGGCTAGCCTTTTGGAAGCTTAATGCAAACCTGTATCGTATCACCTTTGTTTAAAGATGACAGCAACTTGGTGTACATTTAATAAGTTATGTGTCTTTTATTTTGATGATTTAATAGACTTTATGTGAGAATCAGATAGGGAACATGATACAATTAGTTCCTCCGCGCTCAGAACAACAGGTCAAATGTCTACAAGTGTCAATAAAATCAGATGAGGGAACATAAGAGGAAACAGATAAATATTAGTTCTTCTATTCACAGTACAAGTAAACTTTTATAGCTGTTAAAGCAGCTGCACTGCACACACAACAGTACAACAACACTGTTGAAGCATGTTGTGTACCGGGCAGTCCCTTGCATCATCTTTGATGACCTCACTTATATATTACAAACATGAGACAAGGGATTGCACACACTTGCAAAACCTAAATATCGTTTACTCTCAAGTGTGCAGCCGCCTTCATTTTCCCAAAGGCATTGAAGAACAAAACAACAATATAATGAAGGACCAGATACCGACATTGATTACATCGTGTGTCCTTTAGTATTGTTGTATCTTTGTCCATGTTATTCACTTGTAACTCATACTTAGCTTAATTAGAAGCATAACGTAGGGCATTTTGTAAACCATAAACTGTGTGGTTGTTTTGACTAGAGTTAATCAAGTGGTTAGCTTTGTAATAGAGTTATTACAAAGAGGCTTGCAATATAGTTATTGTAAGCAGGTGACGAAGTAAGAGTTTAATTCATAGATTACAATAGGTTGTAATCTAAAGTTGCTCAGTTAGTGAAGTTGAAATCCTACGAATGTAGGTCGTAGTTTTTAATCTCGTGAGCTGGGAGTTTTCCATGTAAATTTCGTTGTGTTATTTACTTAATGCTGTATTCTATAGGAACTGATGAAGAACCAGGTTCTCTATACAGTTTGGTGGACACTTAGTTTACATCAATTGGTATCAGAGCATGTTATTTTTATAAGGCTAACACCTAGAAAGGATCTACATGGCTGCTCCACCGAATTTTGAAGAAGGACAATCAACCTACAGACCGCTAAGATTCAATGGACAATACTATGGATGGTGGAAGACAGGAATACATTATTTTATCATGGCAGAAGATTCAGAGCTTTGGGATGTTATCTGTGATGGACCCTTTGTTCTATGAAGACCATTGGCGAGGGAATAATTACAGTTCCAAAGACAAGGAAGGAACATAATGATGCTGATCGTAAAGCCATTGAGAAAAATTTCAGGGCAAAGAAGATCCTCATTTGTGGCATTGGACCAGACGAGTACAACCGCATCTCAGCCTGTCAATCTGCCAAGGAGATCTGGGAGGCTTTCCAAATTGCTCACGAGGAAACCACTCAAGTCAATGTCGCACCTCCTTTTTACCGCGCCCGCGGGGGCGCGTGGGGAGTTTTCTCCAATTAAAGGACAGTCGAAACGGGATTTATTTAATTATTTAAGAGTCGCCACCTGGGAATTTTAAGGCGTCCCAAGTCACCAATTTCAATCCCTGAATCGAGGAGAATATGACTCTGTTTATTATTCTGCGAACCAGAAATCCTGAGTAAGGAATTCTGTTAATCCGGAAGAAGGTGTTAGGCATTTCCGAATTCCGTGGTTCTAGCACGGTCGCTTAACTGTTTTTATTATTGGCTTAATTATCTTGATTTTAT